TTACAGACATGGCACAACAACCTTGGTTTGTTCTGTGACTTTTTCTTTCCATGGGTATTGATAATTATCACAGAATCATAGAATGGCCTGAGTTGGAGGGACCTAAAAGGTCATCTATTCCAACCCTCGTGCCATGGGCAGGGACAACTCCCACTAGTCCAGGTTGCTCAGAGCTCCATCCAACCTGGTCCTGAACACTTCTAGGGATGGAGCAGCCACAGCTTCTCTGGGCAACCTGTGCCAGTGCTTCATCACCCTCACAGGGAGGAATTTTGTCCTGATATCTAATCCAGACCTACTCTGTTTCAGTTTGAAGCCATTCCCCCTAGTCCTGTCACTCCAGGGCTTTTTACAAAGTCCCTCTCCATCAAGGAAGTCAGCTGGAACAGCAGCACTATCTAGACAAGGCCAAAGCTGGTGTGTACAGCTGATGTGTACAGCAGCAGTGACACACACATCCGTCCAGTTTTATCAGTGTACCCTGTGTGAGGAAAAATATGTTTAATTTGTTGTCTGTGTCCCATGGAATTAAGTATGAGAAATGTGACTGCTGTCTGTGGAGGAGGAGAGAAACTGTACCAGTCTTCTGGTAGGTGATCCCTGTTGTTAGATCCCTGGGAAGGCTGGCAAAGTGGATGACCTGCAGAGGCAATGGCAGTTCATACAGCAATAGGCTTCATACCTGAAATAGCTAGGCCAGGTGGATGAGAACTGGTGGACACCTACAATTCCTAGGGGAACTGGGGGCAAACATAAGGAAAACATGCCAAGTGGAAGAGTGCAGTGTCAAACAGCCCAGAGAAACTTCATGTCAGGGAACAGTCAGCTCGTTTTTTGGCTAAATTTAATAATGCCTTTCAACCAGGATAAACATTGGCTGCTCTAATGTGGCTGTGACAGAAAGAAGAGTGACAGTACAAGAAAGTCAGCTGGAACAGCAACACAGTTTAGACAAGGCCAAAGGATATGGCTGGAAAATAACTGATGTAATTTTGCAGACCATGAAACCTTCACTATATGTTTAGTGGAATAGAGCAGAATGGATGGGCAGGCCACAAAAAAGACTACAGAGGTGACAGAATATAGCATGAAGAGTGGGGTGACAAGTGCAGCTTGGGGAAGATGAGACAGCTTTAGCAAGCAAAACTTCCTTTGGACACTTCCTTTCCATGTGACATATTTCTTTTAATTGGGAAATGTATTATAGACAGAAGTATGTGATGCACAGTTCTAGTCTCATTCATCAGTTCCAGAACAGACATGGAACAGAAAGAGACTAGATTTAGGTTAGATATTAGGAAGAAATTCTACCCTGTGAGGGTGCTGAGGCACTGGCACAGGTTGCCCAGAGAAGCTGTGGCTGCCCCATCCCTGGGGGTGTCCAAGGTCAGGTTGGATGGAGCTCTGAGCAACCTGTTCTAGTGGAAGGTGTCCCTGCCCATGGCAGGGGATTGGAACTGGGTGGTCCTTAAGGCCACTCTGATTTTATGTGCCAAGCATTACCAGACTGCTCAGCTCATCATTCTCTTGCTTCTGATGACTGTTCTGGCTGATGTCTGAGTGCTGCTCTTTGTGATGCATGTGTTCCACTTGCTTCTAAATGTTGGGGTGTGACATATTACAGTATTTAAATGCTATTATAACATAAAGTCAAGCCCTTCAACTTACACAACCAGAAATAAAGTTGTTTGTCCTTGTGCATACTAAAATATTCCTCTAATTCTGTGGTCCCATGGGACCACAGTTCTGTAGTAGCTACTGACTTCCACCACATCCAGTACATAGTCTGAAGTAATAAATTTATTTTTATGCAGTATCAATGGTCTGTCCTGATATCTCCATAAGGCAAAGACACAAGAAGAGGACAGGCATCTCTTTACACTGCTGACCTGGTGTGAATACCAGGGAACAGCACTGTATTTTTGGATATAGCACAGGCACGAAATAAGAGTAAATGAGGCATGCAGGACTAATGCTCAAAATACTGAACTAGTGTAAATCAAACTTTCCTCCAATGAGGGTACAGAGGAAACAAACTCATCAACCTTTAAGCTCACAGAAATAACAGAACTGAGTTAGAATGTGCAATCTCAGTCCTAATTGAGATGGAACCAGATGTTCTTTGAAGTCCCTTTCCAACCCAAACCTTTCTGAGATAATTTCCTCCTTGACATTATTTCCCTTCTCCATAATCACCTTCTGTGGCTTCTCTCCTACAACGAGGAAAGCTATTTTATAACTCCTTCATCTTTCAGCTGTGCTTCATTATCTTAGATTGTGCTGTCCAGAGTGAACTACTGCAGAAGGAAAGACCTTATAGAATTCTTACCTCTCCAGGCAGTGCCATCTTACTAACAGTGAAATTTCTGGCATTGCAGCAGGGTAAAGGCAGGCTGGTCAGGACAAGGTCTGTCCATCTGTTTCTCAACTGTCTGCATTCTTCTCCTCCTGTTTGTCATCAGTTACCATGTAAGCAAACAGACACAGATCACAGAGCTGGTGACAATAGGTGAAGGTCAGTAAGTTATATCCTTGACAAATTGAGACTCTTTGCAATTTTTTTCCCCCTTGCAATAACTCTGTAAATGGCACCTGCACTTTACAGTGCTCACCATGGGCAGGATAAAAAAGCTAAACAATGGCATTCACTCCTCATTCCTCTTGGTGGTAAGAGTTGTTTATTCAATACAAGCCACACGAACATTTTCACACCACATTTTCAAGGCATTAAACACTGTCATCCTTCCAAGGAATGCACATACAAATAGGAAACCTCATGCCCATTTAGTCATTTTCCTCTTAATCCTGAGTGGCTTTTCATGACCCAAACAGGGTTTTTAATGTGGCTCTACACCATAAATTGTAGCCTGCATGCTACAGTTGCTGGGTACAGAACAAACAAAAGTACAGTTTAGGTCAACCCATATTTATAGTCTTTTTTTTTCTACAAAGACAACTTCAAATCTGCTGTTAGCACAACTTCCTCGAGAACTGATATGAAAAATGGGAATCATACATGTTGTGCCAAGGATCCCTCAAAGATTCCCTTTGGCAGGCCAAGTCAGCATTCACAAGGGTCAGAATTCAGTAAGCAGAACTAATAGCTGTCCCATACTATTCCTACCACTTTGGCCTTGCAAAACCTCATCCCTAGAGCTTGTTTGTTCATTTTAGTACCAAAGACCAACCAGCTATTCTGCTGACAAGTTCATCTGCAATCTGCTGAGGACTGAAAACACACATTCAAAAAGCCAAAGGCAAAAAAGCTTAATTATTTTCTTAGAAATCAGTGGCAGTTTTACACAAGTGCTACGGAATTAAATGGTGTCTTTGTGCTTTGGCAAAATATCAGGCAGAAATTTTATGAGCAAAGAGTCTAGAAGCATAAGCAAGGTGATTTGCTCAAGAACTGTTGGTGTTCCACAGGCTGCTTATTAGTAGATGTACTGACTGCAGGAAGAAATGAAACTAAAAAAGGATGAAACACAGAGCTTTTTCACAACACAGATAAGCCTTAGAACTTATAAAAAGGAATACTTCTGCCACCACACCTTTCCCAAACGGAATAGAGGTTAGAGCACTTGCTTTTCTGGGACCAGAGTTTGATTACAGCTTAAGGCCAGCAGTGTAAAACGAGCTCTAACAGGATTAATCCAGCTCCTTCTAGATGAATTTACATCCTTCTTTTCTAGAACACCACATTAGGTCACATTACTTGCATGATTCTTCTTTAGAAGCTGCTGGCAGAGGAAAAGGAAGTATTTGACAGTTCAGC